ATTAAGGATCTTAATATCAGCTTTTAAATTAGCATTTATTGTTTTAAATTCCCTTTTAAGCTCCTTAGTTTTTATAAATATGCGTTTAAATCTTATTTTTATAATATTAAGCTTTGCTTTAGCTATATTAAGCTTTTTTATAATAATATTAAATAACGCTATTAGAATAGTATTCTCCTAATGGAGGACCTCATTCTGAATCTTAAATTACTTAAGCAATTTATTAAATTTGCTATTTTAAGCATTTACTGCTCTTTTAATAAAACGTTTCATTATATCTTTAATAAAAACAATATTATTATTTAGACTAAAAGAGCAAATAGGCTGAATCAGCTCTTTACCTTTCTATTTAGTATTCCTAGCTTTTCTTTAAACTGCTATAATAGTAATAAATCCCTTTAGAGACAATGCTAGTATAATTATAATAATAGTATTACTAGAATAGTTAGGCAGCACCCTTTCCCTTAACTAAAATTGACAGGAGTTAGATAGTCCAACTTGTCAAATTAGCTTATAAATGAAACTGTTAATAAAATAATGAATATCAATAAAAATTATCAATATTGGTTTTTCACTGCCTTTCTATACTTAATTGATTAATTGATTAATTATTTTATATACTATACGCTTGCCACTGGAAGCATAAGCAACTACTATCTATTACTAACTAAATTACAATTCTATATATAGAGTCTATATCTCATTTTGCAGCTTTGTCTATTAGGGTATCTGTGTCCCTATTTTGTCTAAGTGTTCTTCAGCGTTTGCCTTGTTCTATATATGTATAATATATATATATATATATATATATATATTTTATTTATTTATCTTTATTTTCTAATTCCTCTTTACTATCTTCTGTTTTGCCCTCTCTGTCTTCCTTCTCAGTTTTGTTTTCCTGCTTTCTATATTTCTTTATAAAGTCTAATTTTTTAGTATTTATTACATATCTAATAATTACTTAAACTGTTTTCATATCTGCTTTCTATTAGTCCGCTAGTCTATCCCTATATAGCTGCTCTGCTATTATATAAGGGTTACGCTTTTTTAGTATTTGCCAAATGTTGCTAAACTTGTTTCCTAATGCTTTTACCAGTTTGCGTCTTTAGATATTATATTTAAAGCATAATAGCATAAAATGTTAGATTGTCTCTTCTCCTTATTTGCATTTGTATTAGCTTAAGTCTAATGTTGATTACTACTAGGAATTTATTTAAGTAAGTATGCCCTATTTAGAGCTATAAAAGGATAGAAGCCTCTTTCTTATTTATTATATTGTAAAGCAATGCTATATATTTATTTAAAATAGCGCTATCTATTATACAAAGGCTTCTACCTATCTTTTAGAGTCTTTATTATTCCTTAGCTAGGATTTTATTTTAAAAGGTATTCTAGACTTATATTATATTATCTAGGATTATTTTGCTTATACCTGCCTTTATATAACAGCTTGTTGCCTGCTTAGCTAGTTAATTAGCCTCTATATATTCTATAACTACAAACTTCTTTAGAATCCATTAGATAGCTAGATATTCTTTAAAAACTGTGTATTTTCTTATTATATAAGTATATTTTGTATTATAGCTGCTCCGCTTTAGCTTGTTTAATAGTTAATTATATAGATAGCTTTTTGGCTATCTAACTATATTGCTATTTAGAGGATTGGCTTCCCCTGGTTTTTCAATGTTTCTAATATAATACCTGCTAGGGTTACTGCTTATTTGATAGCCACTAGCTTTATTAATATACTATCAATGCTGCCTCTAGACTTGATTCTTTAAGAGTAAATAGACAGTAATGTTGACTTCTTAGAGTATACTGCTATTCCAACTCCTGCTTAGCTATTAGTCACTAAGCTATTAGCAAAGACATTTATATGCTAGTCTTTTGTTTTAATGTACTCTCTATATGCCTTATCTAAATTATACTAGTTGGGTTCACTATTAACTATAGTCACTTTCTATAGTAGAGCCATTTACATTAGGATAATTTCTATTCTTATTCCTATCTTTTCTAATTATATTTCTATATTATAAAAAAGGGAAGTGAACAACTTTGCTCTAGGTTTCTTAGCCAGTTTTCTAAGCTGTCTCTTTAATAGGTTAGTTTCTAATAGTATATAAAGTCTTATTTAGAATTTGCTAATTTTCAGTTTTAGCTAGATATATAGGAGGTAAAGCGAGGCTTTAGCGCTAGATGCCTCTATTAAGTTTGTATAGAAGCATTTGATAACTGCTTAAGCCCTTATCCTTTATATAGGATTAAGAATCTTTGCTATACTATTATCAGTCTTTCCTTCTAAGGATTTAGAATACTATATTGCAGCTATATAATCTATTTTAAAAGCTATTATAGCTTAATATAGCTATTTTGCTAACTATAGGCTAATATAGAAGAGGCGTTTAAGTTAGCTAGCACTTCTCTACCCCCTTATTTTGACTTTAGCTAGGTAGTCTTTAAACCTTAGCTTAGTGTTGAAAATAACTCCTAGGATTCTTTTTCTTATAGAAGGTTTAACAACGTAGTCTCCTACCCTTAATAGAGGGTCAGAATTGCTAATCTTTCTATAATTTTATATAAAATGTATAAGGATTGTCTTATTGCTTTTAAACATAGCGCTACTATCCTTTGCCTATTAGAGGGCCCTTAGGACAACTTTATTGTTAAGTACTGATATGTTTCTCTTTATTGATTCTAAAATGGCTTATTAGGTATAGTTATTTATAAACCCTATATTACTTTATTTCCTATTAATCTTTTCTTTTATTAGAAATACATTGAAGAAGATATATAGAATAGGAGCCAGCGTTGATCCTTATAGAAGGCCGGATTTTGTAAATGTAACTCTGCTTAATTCTATATTATTAATTAATACTATTATTAATCAATCTATATAGAAGGAGTTAACCTATACTACTATATAGGTTAGGATCCTCTCTACACGTAGCTAACTTATAAGTATTTACTAAGAAACGCTATTATACGCTCCTTTTATATTAAAACTAATAAAGGAAAGGATTTTCTTTTATTACTATATTTTAAAGATTTTCTCTATTAAGAGAAGCAGCGCTTAATTATATAAGCGTCTTAGCTTAGCGCTAAATTGTGTTTCTAAAAGGAGATTGAACATTTTAGCTTAATATAATATTCTTTTTGCTAATATAAGTTCTATTAATTTACTTAGAGTAGCTAAAAGAGAGATAGAGTAATATGCTTTTACTACTTAGTAGTCTAGTTTTCCTAGCTTTTATAATAGCAAGATTTATACTGTTTTCTATATAGTTAATATATATTCTAATTAATATAATGCATTAAAGATATTAATAACTTAATTATTTAGAATAGTTTATAAGCGTTTTTATACAATATTTAGAATACTATTTATATTTAATGCTTTATATAAGCTGATTTTAGCTATTATTCTAGTTACTTCTTTAATAGAGATATCCAGGTCCTCTATATATTTAGCATTAGGGTTTAGCGCATCCTTTTTCCATTTTTTAAGAATTGGTAGGAAAAAGCATTAAAGTAGTTTATTTATTTTAGCCTTATCTCCTTTAAGCTCCATTTCTTAACTTTCAATATTAGTAACTATAATAGGGATATTGCTAAACGCTGATAGTTAGAGGTTAAGGTATTAAGCTGCTTTCTAAATATTATCTATCTATGCTAGGAATTTGTTTTAGTATAGTTGTTTTTTGTTACAGATGCCTTTATAGAACTAGTGTTTAGCTTGCCTAGCTTTGTAGCAGCTTTCTTTATTATCTAGTTTTATAGTTTGTAGCGCGTTGCTCCAGTTTAGGTATTGCATATATTTATTATGTAGCTTTATAAGTTTGTTATCCTATTATGCTTTTATATATAGTGATTCCTTAACTGTAGGGCTGTAATTACAAATATATTGGCTTATAGTGTTCTAGATTTCTATAACTGCCTAATTAAGCTTAATAGTATTGTTAATATTAACAACTGATAGTCTCTATCCCTTAAGCGCGTTATTTGGCTTAGGTCTATTATAACCCCTAGGAGTTAGCGCAGTTTTTTAAGGGAAGTAAGTAGTGTTATTGCTATAGTGTTACTACATTGAGGCTATATAGCTAATAATAATAGGTTGATTAAGCCTGATGCTGCTAAAGCATAGAAGATTAGTAAGGAGGCTACTATATTAGAGTTAGCTAAGAATATTAAGCTTGCTTATTTAAAGGTTAAAAGGACTATCTTTCCTTTATTAATATTAGATTTAATAAATTAGACTTTAATGTCTAAGGCTTTAATATTAATATTAATATTTTTAATATTTACGCTTATGCTATTAAGCTTCTTTTTGAGCTTCTCATTTTTCCTTATAATAATATTAAATATTGCTATTATTATAGCATTCTCTTAATAGAATTGCTTATTCTAAATCTGGAATAATTTATTCTAGTTCTAGAATTGTTTATTCTATATATAGAATAGTTTATTCTGTTCCTAGAGTTGCTTAAGCAGCTTGTTAAGCTTATTATTCTAGATATTCACTGCTCCTTTAATAAAACACTTTAGCATATTTTTTACAAAAATAGTATTATTATTTAGATTAAGGGAACAAATAGGCTGAATTAGCCTTTTACTTTATCTAATGTTCCTAGCTTTTCTCTATATTGCTATAGCAGCGTTCTGTCCCTTTAGGAACAACGCTAGTATGACTATAATAACAGTGTCACTAGGACAATCGGGCGGCACCCTTTCCCTTAACTAAAATCGACAGGAGTTGGATAGTCCGACTTGTCAAGTCGGCTTGTAGATGAAACTGTCAATAAAATGATGAATATCGATAAAAATTATCGATGTTGTTTTTTCATTGCTTTTTCCCTGTGCTAATTGAGAGCTGCCAGGTGCTGCAGCGGGTTAAAGCTGTGGTTGATGACGTGCCGGTGTTGATCGATATACTCCGATCAGATCCCCGACCTCCCATCAGCAAGCAGCCAGTTCTCCAAGAGAGATAGACTTTGATTGACCTTGCCGGGGTAGCTCAATCGGTAGAGCGTGTGGCTCTTATACAGAGACAACCTCAAGGTCGCGGGTTCGAGCCCCGCCTTCGGCTATTCCTAAATTAGCTTGCCTGATATGTCTTTTGCTTTTGCAGTCCAGTCTACTGGGACAATGATTATCTTTTGATGTTAGGATGGATAATCAGCTGGCTGGTTGCTTTTTCATTTGTCTCGGGAGATCTAATGATTGGTGTTCTACGCACAATACTTTTATCTCCATGACGTGAAGTCATCACGATATAAGAAGGTTAAGGGTTAGATCACGAACGACCATTCTGTTTTCTGGGGAAACTGAGGATGTAAGAGTGGTTGTAGCTCAGAGGTAGCAGGGTGTGAGGAAGTATTGAGTCGTTTTGGGCTAGCACCTTCTGTAGAAAGGGCACTCTGTGGACAACTATCCCAATGAATCGGCAGATAAGCTGATAGAAAGAGAGGCAGACGGTTGGATGGGTGATGCGGTTCTGGTCGACGAGGCGAGAGAACGCCTTTCATGTCATGAATGGCATGGTGCCACTCTGGGAGCTACTTACGCGATCTAGAGCCAAGGAGAATATCGCTCGAATCATGATCGATGTACCTGTACCACTCAACAAAGAGAACCGGGAAGATACATGGATGAGAATACGAGGATTGGAGGAATGTACGGGCTTGAGATGGGTGGTCATTGATATTGGAGGATACCCAAGTGGTCGAGTTGATATTGATAAATGTGTCGAGGATATGCGAGGGTTGTTTGAGCAGGTGGCTATGAAGTGTCAGCCAGAGAAAGGGTTCCACGTCAACATGGTCAAGAAGTACCCTGGTTCAGATGGAACAGACATTAACCGTACTGAAGTACAGGGTGCATGGGGAAGGTATGGCAGAGACAATGATGGCAACTTTGGCAAGAGCCTCCGTGAGATTCTGGATGAAACGGACTCTCGTTTCGAAGCTGATGAAAGGCTGCGTAAGCGTCAAGATGATTACAGCCTCTGATGACTTTTGGCAGAAGGAGGATTCGATCCTCGATGCAGGTTTTGGATACAAGTGCAAGAATAGATATGAGAGTTGATGCGCAAATTTGATTATACGAGATGCAGATGCCTTATTGTAGTACCAATGAGCCCATTCGGCTGTCTCGTCTGTTTTCATAGACCAATTCATCGAAAAGGGTTTGACTTTGCCGTAAGTACAAGGCCTCCTGGGCTACCAGGTTGACATGATGCGATGACCGGAATTCTCGTTCAATCTCCAAACAAGAGTGACATGGGAATCAAGAAATTAACCGAGACTGGGTACTTTGACATGGTCCAATAAGCCTATAATGTTAGCCTATAATGTTAGCACTTGGGTTCAAATTCAATCGGGTCCTCTACGATCATCAACGTTCGATCTGGAGCAAGAGATCTAGCAATAGGAACAATAATCAACAAGTCATCACCTGTTACATACAGTCACAGTCTGTGACCTCATTGTGGCGATATAGATACCAACATTCCCATCCAAAGTCGACTCAAGAAATCGCCTTCCGAATTTCCTCCTCCAGATCTAGCCCACCAATGCCAAGCAACCAATTAGCAAAGTCCTTCTTGCCCATCCACGTCGCATCCGCGGTCTCCAACACCAGAATCAATTCCTCAATCGCCTCCTCATCCTCCTCAACCCTCTCTAAGCTCCCCTTTGGCTTTTACTACACTCCTCCAAATCCACCTCCTCAACGACCCACTCCCCTGTCTTTGTGACGAACATACAACAGACAAGACTCTCGATCTTGGGAAGATCATGAATCTCCAGGAGATTGTCTTCAGAGTGGAGCAGCTCGGGCGGAGGAGTTTCGCTTCGGAGCCTGCCTCTTCAGGTTTGGCTTTGTGTAGGCTGTTTGTTCTGATGCAGTCGTAGAGGTGCGGCTCATGAGGCAACTCATGAGACAGAAGAAATGTCCTTGTCGAAAGTAGCCATCACGAATAGGCCTCCAAATGTATGGTAAGCCATTCAACAAGCTCAGATCGTCTGGTAATCTTGGAGTGCTCTTCTCATGTCGTATTGGGGTCAGACCCCGCTGCTCCAGTTCTTCCAGCGACCACCAATGATGGCATGAGCGAGCCCTACATGGAAGAGAGCACCGGAAGAATATGCAGCATCGCCACTATTGTCGGTGTTCCCTCCTGGTAGCTTGGTAGAGCGCCTGTGCTCGAAAGATCCAATGCTGCCGGTGTCATGTATAAATTGCTTGGTCAAAGGTCGCCAAACCACCATGCTGGTGTTCCGTAAACTTTCATGGTACAAACGTTCTTTCATCTGCGAGGTAAGCCATTCCACAACTTCAGAATGCTGAGCCACATCTGGGTACTCTTCTGGATCCATCTCTGGATCCTCTTCTGGATCCCCTTCTGCGTTCTCTTCTGGATATCCTTCTGGATCCTCTTCTGGATATCCTTCTGGGTATTCTTCCAGGTCGTCTTCTCAGTGCTCTTCTGACTGTTTCTGCGCGAGATCCAGCGGTGTCATGCCCTCGTCGTTCTTGGAATTCAGGTCACATCCCGCTTCAACTAGAAGCTGCACTACCTCTAGATGTCCCCTTATAGCGGCCCAGTGGAGCGGTGTCATGCCCTCGTCGTTCTTGGAGTTCAGGTCACATCCTGCTCCAACCAGGACCTTGACTGCCTTTGAATAGCCAGATCTAGCCGCCAAATGGAGTGGAGTCATACCATCGCCGCTCTTTGATTCTGTATCAGATCCTGCTTGCACTAAAGCCTTGACTATCTCCCAGTAGCCGTTCCAGGCGGCTAAGTGGATTGGAGAATCACTGATGTTATTTCTCGAGTTCAGGTCACATCCCGCTCCAACCAGGACCTCGACTGCCTTCAGATAGCCAGGTCTAGCCGCCAAATGGAGTGGAGTCATACCGTCGCCCCTCTTCGATTCTATATCAGATCCTCCTTGCACTAAAGCCTTGACTACCTCTGAACGGCTGTTACAAGCGGCTTCATAAAGCGGAGAGTCCCCAATGTTATTCTCTAAGTCTAGGTTACACCCCGCTTTGATCAAATCTTTGACTACGTCTGCATGCCCACAAGAAGCGGCTTTGTGAAGCGGAGAGTTACCGCTGTTTTCCTTCGAGTTCAGATCACAGCCCGCTTCGACTAGGATGTTGACTGCCTTCGAAAACCCTTCACGAGCGGCTTCGTAAAGCGGAGATCGTCCTTTATTGTGCTTCAAGTTTAGATCACATCCCGCTTTGACTAGGTATGTAATCACCTCTGTATAACCATCACTAGCTGCCAGGTGCAAGGGTGTCATAGATATGATGTCCTGAGAGTCAACATCTGCTCCTTTTAGCAAAAGCAAATCGACAACCTGCGTGTGAACATGTAGTGATGCTAAGTGCAAGGGAGTCCTAGCTTCCATATCCTGAGAGTCGACCTCTGCTCCATTCAACAGCAGCAACTCTACAATCTGCGCATCATTGTCTTTTGCTGCTAAGTGAAGGGCAGTTATAAAGTTCCTGTCCTTAGCATTGATGTCTGCTCCTTTTGACAGTAGAACCTCGACGATGTCCGTACGCCCGGATTGAGCTGCACTCTTAACAGCAGCATGCAATGCTATGTCATACCCTCCCCTTTGCGCATCTACGTCTGCACCAGCCTGAAGCAATATCTGGACGATACTATCACACCCTCTGGACAAAAGCTTCGTCAATGGTCAATGAGGCAGCTTGAAGCGCATTGCCGTAACGACCTCCTTGCGCATTGACGTCGGCTCCAGCCTGTAATAACATCTGGACAACGGCTTCGGTACCCTTTGCCGAAGCAGCTTGAAGCGCATTGCCGTAATGGCCTCCTTGCGCATTCACGTCTGCCCCAGCCTGTAGCAACATCTGTACCAATTGCAGAGCCTCTTCACCATCAGACTGGCTTGCAGCCACTGGTAAAGCGCATGATCCACCCTCCACGCTTACAGCGGCACCTGCTTTAAGCAAGAGTTCACACACCTCAATGGAACCCGAATGACAAGCAATTTCCAGAGCATTACCATATTGCCCACCCTGGTAATCGGCGTCAGCACCCGCTCGAAGCAGTATCTCTACTGTCTTCGTGTGATCAACAGCGACTTGCAAAGGCGTTCCAAATTCCTCATGCCACTGATTGACTTCTGCACCTGCATCAAGAAGTAGTCCATGATTTGCTTGATGGACCTCAGAAGCCCTTCTCGGGACGGGCGCTCGTCAAGGGCATCGACAATGATGAACACCTCTCCGATGCTACTTATGAGTTGATATAAAGTTTTCAAGAGTGTCTGCCTGCTCGGTTCTGAGGTGCCCTTGCTACAGGTTAAGAACAAGGCGTCTAGTATCTCCAGACCATTCTCAAAAACCGACGCGAGCTGTACTAAAAGAGATCTCAGTAGGTTCTCTTCTGATTGCTTTGCAGAGTTGTTGAAGTCGAAGAAGAAGTAGGCTAACAATGCTGGTCCCTGCACCCATTGCTGGCAAGCTTCGATAATACTTGAAATGAGAACTGTTTTTCCGCATCCGGGACTACCATGGAGCCACAGAAAAGAGCACGGCGTTCTTTGCCACGATTCAAAGATTGCACCCTTCGTGAACCAGATTCCAGTACCTTTCTGTCTCTTCTCCAGGGCTCTGTTATAGTTGGTCGAAACATCGGGCGCTTTGAGCCATGCTTGAATGCGGTCAAAATTGGCCCGATCGGTACCCTGGCGATATTCAATCCGGGCTTCGTCAATTTTGGAACTCAAATTGTTCAATGCTGTTCACCGATCAGATTTACTGGTTACTTCGTACATCGAGATGAGCTCACTGACCCTCAATCGGCACTTTGCACGACTTCACCTCGTCGACCGGCATGTGAAAAAAGAGTTGCCTGGCATATGCTGCGGCCACAGCAGCTGCATATCCATGCCATTTATCATTCTTATGCGAGTCGCAGTAGTCAGCGATACCGCGGATCACCAGACAAGGAAAGTCCGTCATTGCACCTGCTGCCTCCATCTCGAAGCACACTGCGCCAAGGTCTTCTGCCAGTCGATCCCTTTGTATTCCATCTTTCATGAC